TTATATTAATTTTTCCACCCCTGGTTTAGTCGCACACTCCTAATGACAGGTTCACTTTAAAAGGAAAAATGTGAAGGATGTGCAGCATCTGGAATCCACTATCAGAGTAAAGGTTTAGACAGTACAGATTTGTTTTTATACAGTTGTTGGACTATATAAAAATAAGTTTGTTTTGAATATATGGTAAGGGAGAAGGTCAAAAGTACAAAAACACCTTGGTATATTTTCAGCCGGGCTGAAAAATATAAATTAATCAGTACCAATAAAGCATGCCTGAAGCCACAGAGATGTTGGTAAAGCAGTTACCTTCAGATGCTGCAGATCAGTAATGCTCTGGGAATCACAAACCATGCGACATTCTACTATGCAAATTTGAAACCGCTCCCATAGTTAGAAGCCAAGCCCAGCCCCCCCACACCTTACTAATAGTCAATGTGGCTGTCTATGACAATCATGAATCAGTAATGAGGTGGAGGAATTGGACGCTGGTTGACATTTGCATATTCAGGCATCCCGAAATTACAAACCAATGGCACTTTAACACATATGTGACTACAGGTTCACTTTGACCACATTTACTAAAAAAGTAGTGCAGTTTCACTTTGCAAGGGTATTTTCAATTAGCTTAGTGAATGAAGTGAAGCTGTGACAACTTCAATCATCCGATCATGTGCAAGAAAAAAAAAACCCCTTTTTTTTTTGCATGTAGTTGCTTATTTTTTTTTAAAAGTGGATTTTCACCAATAAGCATAGTGACAATTCACTATGCAAAGTGAACATGCTCAATTCCTTTAGTAAATAGGGTCTTTGTGCTCCTCCAGTAACAAATCCGATATCCGTCTCAATTACAAGAACACTAGGAGATACAGACTGAAGAAGCAACATCGGAAGGTGCAATAGAAAAAACAAAAATCTCTCTCCACTTAGTATAGCCCAATAACCTAGTAAACATTTCTTTAGGGTAAGGACCTACTAACAATCATAGTCAGTAAAGGATCTGCAATTTCGTATCTGGTTAACCAAAACAGACACTAGACAACATATTACAAAAGTTTTACGTATCATTACAATCAATCATATAAAAGGCATATAAGGATAAATTAATTAAGTGGTGCAAAGAGCAATGATGTGTTATGTGATGAAGCAAACAATAGGATCAAAGCAGTTTCGTCAGACCATTGAAAGATGAAAGATTTTGGACTGAACACCACTTCTCTTTACACCATGTTGCCTATTAATCAAGCAGTGTTAGGGAAATTAACTAACAAGTAACCAGATTACAGTTAAAAGAAATTCCTTTAAACAATTAATTTGGATTGGCTGCTCTGGGCTACCATTTAATCTTACTAACCACTGTTACAACGCCTGTGCATAGAGGCAGCTGTAAGATCTTTATTCCTCCCCTCAAGTTAAAGCTCTCTAGCTATCCCTATGCAGCAGCTGTGAAACCCTATATCAAAACTTCCTTTTACTTCAGGTTTCCTTACTCCCTCCCTCCTCGTTGGTTAGAATGATTTTTTTTTCTCCGTTGACCTTGGACAACAAAGGAGAACCAGTCATTTTGGAAAGAGGTGATCCCCTTGTATTGAGACTTGACTACCTTCAGTCAGAGTTTTCACAGCTGCTACTTAGAAATTGCTAGAGAACTGTGGCATGGGAGAGGGAGGAATGAAGAGCTCACAAACGTTTTATGCACAGGTATTGTTTAGACGGGATAGCAAGAGGATTGGCATTGTTCAAGTGTACCTATAGACCTGAGATGACCGCTTCATAACCTGGCTGCATTGGGTGAAAAGAATATCAATAGGGCAGCAAATGACTGCTTTGAATGACCATTCTTTGGACAAATGTGAGGCAGTGCTCCTTTAAAAGCCTTGCTCCATCTTGACTGTTTACCTATCTATTGATAAGCAAGCATCAAAACTGTCTGCACACTCCTCTTATGTTCTTTGCCCTAGAGAGGAATGCTTGTGTGATTAGAGTCCCTGTTCAAGGGATAAAAAAAAGACTGCTCGCTGTTATCAAAGGTCAGCTTCAGATTTGCCTTAATAAAGAAGCCTCAGTTTTTAAAGATAACTACTTTGCTGGCCTAACGAAAAATGAGTTTGATCCCTAATTTGGACCATGATATCTTTCAAGGCTCTAAACCTGACACCACAGTGATATCACCCGTATACAGTAAAATTACAGAACATATTGATTAGAAACAAGAAATGTATGCCTCTGTTGTGTCAGGGTGACTAGTATACATTAAAACCAGATACATTTACCTCTGCACAAAACTACAGAGCCGTAATCCTCTGACTGCAAACAGTGTTAGCTGCATTTCTTTCCTTCTCTCTTGCTATAAAGCTTCAGACCAAGCCAACAGAGAATTGGCATTCTCAGCAGATGTATTTACACAAATGAAATGAGGACATCCATCATAGCTATAAATACCCAGTCCGCTCCATTTACTAGGGCAAAACCCGCATTACTACAACAGCAACACAACTTCTGGTGGGGTGTTGTTCAATTACCGAACTTGTACAATTCACCAGGTACACTGAGTATTTTGAAAGGACACCAAAATTCACATATTTAAAGGAATCCAGATCCAACAGTCATGTATATTCTATACACTGGAGGAAAAAGGCTAAATCATTTTGTACAAATGAACCAGTCTGGTTTGGGTACATGTGGAGGACACTGGACCACACCTATACGTTAACACTGCACTGTTAAAATACTTATTTGGGAACACTGCTGTCTGAAAGAGAGGGAAGGCTTTTCTTAAGCACATTCTCTGCTGTTAAATGAAGTTCTGGGTCACAATGGCTACATCAGAACATTGGCACAATTACAAGCAGCAGTAATCATACATTAGACATACTTCTAGAATACTTTATGAAAGATCCAAAACAATGGTGTCAGGTTCATTTACATGACAGCCAAGAAAGGAAAGCAGAAACTTTTTTTTGTTATCTCTTGTTCATGATAGTATTTATAGTGGACAAATCTCATATCTGTACTGGCAAGTCTACCAATAAACCTGAACATGTAGAATGGAGCTGCGGCATTCAAAGGCTTGTTATAGAATGTAAAGAAAACCAGTCAAAATTCAGCTTAAAGGGTTAAGTGCTTGTTTTATCTAGGGAGCCAAAATAAAAAAGTTATACCTGCCTGAACCACAATCCCGGCTTGCTCTTAGGCTCCTCCTTTCAGCCTCACTCCCACTCTGCTCCAGCAGTTTAAGGTCCTGAGAGTCATCATGTTCAATACACGGTGTACTGGATGTGAGGACACTGAGGGACAAACCATCACTGGGGCAGAGGAGAGAGGCCTCGGGGAGCAGTGTAGGAGCAAGCCGGGATTGCAGTTCAGGCGAGTCAGCTGGCCACGTCAGGAAGGGAGGGGGGGGTCAGCTGGCCACGTCAGGAAGGGAGGGGGGGGTCAGCTGGCCACGTCAGGAAGGGAGGGGGGGGTCAGCTGGCCACGTCAGGAAGGGAGGGGGGGGTCAGCTGGCCACGTCAGGAAGGGAGGGGGGGGTCAGCTGGCCACGTCAGGAAGGGAGGGGGGGGTCAGCTGGCCACGTCAGGAAGGGAGGGGGGGGTCAGCTGGCCACGTCAGGAAGGGAGGGGGGGGTCAGCTGGCCACGTCAGGAAGGGAGGGGGGGGTCAGCTGGCCACGTCAGGAAGGGAGGGGGGGGTCAGCTGGCCACGTCAGGAAGGGAGGGGGGGGTCAGCTGGCCACGTCAGGAAGGGAGGGGGGGGTCAGCTGGCCACGTCAGGAAGGGAGGGGGGGGTCAGCTGGCCACGTCAGGAAGGGAGGGGGGGGTCAGCTGGCCACGTCAGGAAGGGAGGGGGGGGTCAGCTGGCCACGTCAGGAAGGGAGGGGGGGGTCAGCTGGCCACGTCAGGAAGGGAGGGGGGGGTCAGCTGGCCACGTCAGGAAGGGAGGGGGGGGTCAGCTGGCCACGTCAGGAAGGGAGGGGGGGGTCAGCTGGCCACGTCAGGAAGGGAGGGGGGGGTCAGCTGGCCACGTCAGGAAGGGAGGGGGGGGTCAGCTGGCCACGTCAGGAAGGGAGGGGGGGGTCAGCTGGCCACGTCAGGAAGGGAGGGGGGGGTCAGCTGGCCACGTCAGGAAGGGAGGGGGGGGTCAGCTGGCCACGTCAGGAAGGGAGGGGGGGGTCAGCTGGCCACGTCAGGAAGGGAGGGGGGGGTCAGCTGGCCACGTCAGGAAGGGAGGGGGGGGTCAGCTGGCCACGTCAGGAAGGGAGGGGGGGGTCAGCTGGCCACGTCAGGAAGGGAGGGGGGGGTCAGCTGGCCACGTCAGGAAGGGAGGGGGGGGTCAGCTGGCCACGTCAGGAAGGGAGGGGGGGGTCAGCTGGCCACGTCAGGAAGGGAGGGGGGGGTCAGCTGGCCACGTCAGGAAGGGAGGGGGGGTCAGCTGGCCACGTTAGGGAGGGGGGGGATGGTCAGCTTTTAAGTCAGGGGGAGGGAGTTAACTTGTCAAGTCGCGGGGAGGTGGGTCAGCTTGACACATCCAGCGGGAGAGGGGTAACCTGAAGTCTGACAGTTGTTGACCTCAGTCAGAAGCTAGGAAGATGATGATTGTTAGCCCAGGTGAGTAAACAGGGCAACAACTGTCACATTTCAAATGACCTGCCACCTCCTAATCCATAATGTGAGCTCCATAAGGGGGTAAATATAAATCCTTCACATGTAGGCCTGAATATTCAGATTCTTGCACATTCCTAGTTGCGACTGGTCCTCTTTAACTCAAATAGTAAAACCTGTGGCTTGTTACAGTTATTTTTAAATTGAGGCCATATATCTCATGTATGGTTGTACATAAGTGGATATAAATCTGTTATCTAATGACTATACCCATAAAGCTACTGAAACGGGTTTAATTTAAATCTTTCATTTATCCTGTCACCAACATAAAGTAACTTCAGAAGTCCCCCAGCAAACCAAAGGATAGTTTAACATGTGTGGTCATGGACAGAGAGGCATCATAGGAGGACACAAATTGGAACGTTACCTCATTTCCCAAAAGTTATCACTGTCATTTTGTTTGGTGAATGCTGGGCATTCTACACATAGTCAGCAAAACAATAATTAAAAACCACATGTATGTACAGGTTGAAAGTCTGGGTGTCACAAAACTGTAAGACAGCCAAAATCACCCCCACTGGCATAATCCAGTTCTATAAAGTCACTTCTGACTACACAAATGCTAAGTTTAAGAGACATCAGGAGCCCCACTACAATGTCCCTGGATCTGTCCAGTGCGAATTGCTTTTTGAAACAGATTTGGACTTTCTCCTGTGTTTCAGTGTTGATGTCCAATGGATAAAAAGAGCGGTATTAAACATCCTATGACTAAGGCCAACACCTCTGTACGGCTCAGTCCCTTAGCAGCACCCGAGTCTGGTTTGTGGCTGTGTCCCATTCCACCTACTTCTGGAAGTACGTGGACTGTGGCTACATAGAGGAATGTCCCAGCGGAGAAAAGCATCGCAACACCAGTGGCATTGACCTCTGACAGGACCTCTTTACTGCTCTGTGAGAGAAGAACAAAAGCAAAATATTAGATGCACAAAAGCAAAATATGGTGGCCATCACCACTGACAATACAATTAGAAGTTATCACTTCCTGACACACACACACACACACTGTGTGTAACCACCGACCACAGGAATCAATATAAACATTTGTATATATTGGTTCATTTACCTTACTTAATCCCAGATATGTTAGCATTGACAGGACAGGGGCTGCAAGAGCAAATACAAGCAAATGCTTCCGGATGCGGTTACGCTCTAGCCCTGCATGCATGAGGAATGAAACCAAGCCGAATGCTGCTGGAGCCTGCAAAGAACAACAGAAATACATCCCTTAGAAAAACAGCCTATAGGAATGAGACAAATTTGCTGAAACGTGTCAGCAAGGTTCTTGTACGCTGCTTTTATGCCATATCAATAAAGATTACATCAAGATGATCTTTTTTGAGCGCCGGTTTTCTTAAGTAATGAGACTATATGTGCAAGATGTAAATTGAAGACATCCTGTTACGAGACCATTCATTTCAACAACAATCTTCCCATAGGAACATATTTTTTTGCATCTTAATTACCTGTAAAATCCTCCCTTGTATAGACACACAAAGGGCCCGAGACTGCCGCTGGGCTCCGCCATCTTAGATGGGATGTAAGCGGCCCCAACAGACCCAGAGCGGTCATTCAAGTGCCACTCCATATTATTCTCCTTCGCACCTTACCCAGCAACTACATAAAAGGTTAAGCAGGGAGGTGAAGAGAGGGATGAAAGAGCTGGGCCAGCACAGACAGTAATTAGACACTCCCTGAAAAGGAGAGGACTATGACATGGCAGGAGGGAGGACTGTGGCTGTGCTAGGGAATAGACTACTCCAGGAGTGTTTTAAATCCCACGTAGGATTAACCCTTTCGCTGCCAAGGACGTACGTCGTACGGAGCTACAAAAGTGCTTCCAGCTGGCCAGCTCAGTACGTCGTACAATTGTGAGTAAATAAAACATTGCTTATGTAAAAGGGAAAAGGCTTCAACTAAAAAGGTGAAATACTGTTTTTTTTCGTGATTGTACCTGCAAAAGTTGGTGACAGGATCTCAGGACGTTGTTCAGTAGAACCACAATTAAAAAAAATGCTGATCTTTGGGAGTGTATTACAAGCAGGCCAACAGCTTCCACTACGATGGTCACTGGAGTTTCCTGGACTACTTGCTCCAGGCAGCTCTTATACACAACCAATCGTGTGGGAGTCCACAGACATTATCTTATGGGCAGAATATGGGTGTAATTATAAACAGCAGGAGTGCTACATAGCCTGAAATTACCCAGACCCCTCGTGTCCACAAATGGCCAGGAGTTTTAATAAGGAGGACAGGCAGAGCACATCGGGCTTGGCTCCGTCCCCTAGCTGCCTGGCTATTCTCCCCCATTAATACTATCCGAGTCACTGACCTGCAACAAGTATGCATATGAGGAAAAAGTCAGAAAAAAAACAGTCAGAAGACAGAATCCAAATGTCATAAATTGAAGAGAAGTCACCAGCACTCTACTGAGGGTGAAATAACCAGCTGGAATACTTTCACAAAATCCTCACATAAGTAAATAATCCCTGTGTAATTATTTACCTAGGTCATGCCTTTGTGAATAAATGTGAGCTTGTTGTTTCACCCTCAATGGAGTGCGAGTGACTTATCGTCAACTTATGGTTACTCTGCAAGGCGCCATTCGTTGCGGTCACTACAAGCACCACTTTGTTACCGTTGGTCACTGCTGCTGTAATGAGTGCGGCTCAGAACTCGATTACTGCAGAGTTCAAAATCAAAGCTTACTACTCACAGTAATTACTTCCGCCTTCTCACAACACAGTGCATTCCCAACTCACAGTTCTACGATTCTGCCCTCTGTGTAGGTTCCCATTCCCCACTTCGCACTCGCCTCGGCTACCTCGCATGTCAGATTATCGGGGTCATCAGACAACAAGCTCCCTGACATGTTTCATCACTTTGGAATTTTTCAATTGTGAGGAAACAAGGTGATGAAACAGTGGGGAGCTTGCGGTCACGTGATCCCAGTAATTCAGCACGCGAGGTATCCGAAGAGGGGAGAGTGCACAGCAGGGAACAACCTACAATTGGGTCCAGAGGAACTTTTAATGCAAGTGTATGGTGTCCTAATAAAATAATCGCCTTCAATTTTACACTATGGAGTGTGTATTATGTGCTTCCTTCTGAGACACATTAAGAGGATCGATTACCACTATAATAACACAAGTGAATTCTACCTAGGAAGCTTAAAAGAAGGAACATCTAATAAGCATTGCTGAAAGCAGGTTTTTGACCATGGTAATGCAATTTAGATCTAGTCCAAAAATGAAGGGGAGTTTATGCCCATTGGGGAAGTGTTGTATACAGGTGCTGCAATTCACAGTTGTGGACAGACATAACACCGCGTGGAAGGAGATCACAGTGCTGTCTGTGTGTTTACAAGTTGGATGGGTAGAAGTGGATATATAAAATCAACACCATGCCCATTGAATGCAGCCTTTGAAGATTTGGTTACTTTGTTTTAATTTGGACACTTGAATGGTTTCCTTTTAGCGCAGAACTTTTATATAATAATATTTTATATTGGTGGTGAAATATTCACAAAAGTGTGAGCAGCTGATATTTAGTTTTGGTTTTACTTCTATCATCCTTTTCATATTTTTTCCATTAGTGCAGAATTGTTATGCATACTGAAAAGAAAAATAAATTCATATACAATAGTTTAGCTCCATATATCAATAGTGGGCAGTCTTTTTTTTTAATTTCTTGTCTCTAAATTTTATCTGGCGTTCTTGTCCAAATGGGTATTTCATGTCATACGATAAAAACCCTACTTCTGCAGTGTCTCTCTGTAAGCAGCAGTGTTGTTACTCTGTACTACATGCACCCGAGAACATAGAATTTGAGGATGAATAAAGACACGGGTCCATCAAGTTCAACCTTTGTGCGTCTATGTGTGATTGTGCATGTGTATGGTTATGGTTATGTGTGTACACGAGTCTCTGTGTGATCTAATTTTAAAAGAGTACCTGTATCCCTGTATGTTATGGTCTCTGAGGAAGGTACAGTATGGATATGCTTTTTGAATGATTCAATACTCTCAGCTGATAGCACTGCTTGTGGCAGAGAGTTCCAGACTTCACCCGCTCTAACTATAACAAGCCCTTTGTGGTTAAATCTTTTCTCCACCAGTTTTAGGTGGTGGCCGCTAGTCTTTCTTAGGGAGTTTACTGTAAATAGTTTATTGCTGATGTTGCCATCACCACTGAACATTTTGTACATCAAAATCATGTCCACTCTTAATCTCCTCACTTTTAGCGTGAACAAGTTTAAATTTAGTAACCTTGTCTCATAGCTTAGGTCCTCCAGCCCCTTAATTAGTTTAGTTGCCCTTCTCTGGACTCTTTCCAGCTCAAAGACATCCTTTCTGTGTGAACAATAAGCTAAATGGCTAATGCACAGTGTGCCAGCACGCTCAGCTTGTAACAGTGCAGTGAGAGTTGGCTGCTACTCCCAAAATGCCCCCTTCCCCGCCCAGATGCGATTGACAGCAGGCCTGAGGGCTGTGCACTTGTGGCTAAGGTGCATGCTCCTGTTCTGCAAGCTGTGTGATGTTCATGGCTGCAGCAGCTCTTTGCATGAAAGTGTGAATATTTCACTGTACTGCATCCATGGAGGAAAATCATTGTCACTCTGGGGCAGAAAACTGCTAATTCTAACGATCACCTCCTTCCATCACCATAAATGTATAAGATGTTTTTTAGTTCATGGAAGGGAATTGGGCAGGGCTGATAACATTGTTTGGAATTTCAGAGCAGCAGAGAGCACAAGTTATGATCTCAATTGATTTCTTACAGATCAACAAGTATTTTTCTGTGCTTACAGTGAGAAAACATGGGTAAATGTGCATGCGAGAGAGATGTACCAATAATGACTGTTTTGTTTGTTCATTCCCTTGAAAATTAGAAAAGGCCATAATCACATTTCACCTTGAGGGTTCAGGATCCTGGTCATGAATATCATCTTCTATTCTACTAAGGTCCACCCTTCCAGATGAGTGCATTTCCTGCTGTTGGTGGAAGTGCGATACACTGCTTTGTGCACTACAGAGCACTGGCTTCTAAATGTATATTTGTAAGGAAAGCACACTGCAAGCCTATCATGGACATCAGGGATTATGTCTACTGACTAATTTTCATGCGGTCAGTATGTGATTCCACAAGGATTCAGACACAACAAATCAAGAACAATTTAAGCTTTTACCTTGTGCAACATGATGGCCACAAACACAATGAGTTGAACACTGGTCTGGGAAGTAGAAGCTGCAGCTCCAAGAGCAACTCCATCAGCTAGAACGCAGAAAACATATTTTAAGTATGCAACATAAAACTGTCCATGTTTTCCTATTATATGAAATTTGTGCCATGGCGTTGTCAACAAAGTGCCACTCACCTGCGGCATGCACCACCAGGCCCAGAGTTGTGGTGATTTTTGAACTTGCTGCTCTTGCTGCCTCTGGATCTAGAAAAACAATAGCAAGTAATTTAAATACCCAGAGGTACATGGTGTCTAGCTATCCCCCTTCTATTATACATACCTTCTGTAGAGTGCATGTGAGAGCTGCCAATCTGATCCACCAGCAGCATGAATACAAAGCCAAGCACCAGAGAGACTCCAATGTAAGCATGCAAATTAGAGTGATCATGGTCATGTGCAGCTGCAACCTCAGCTCCAGTCTCAGATTCCTTCACTTTCTGGATTTCTGCAATTTCATGATGTTTTGCTGATGAAGAACAAAATAGATATTAATTCTCTAAAAGGGTGGCAATATACATTACAGGCAGTGGGCAAAGCTAAAAGGTCTTACTACCATATATTACATTGCCTCAACAGGAGTAGACACAATGTTGCGAACAGACATCAGAGAACATTGATTTGTTTCCATTTACATCTATTATAATATATTCATCTATTAGTAGCCTAAAACCATGTTTTAAAAGCTGCTCTAATAATTTGGGCAGATCAGGCAGGCTAAGAACTCCAGTTTGCTAGAAAAGCAGAGTATGTTTTTAGGGCCCATCCTCACCTATGTGTGCACTAAAGTGCAATCTTTTGTTTTGAGACAGCCCATTCATTTTAAATATGCGTTTTAAAAAATTGACATTAAAGTAAATTTTTCTTTTCCCTCCCCCCAATGTTAAGTAAAACACTTACCTTAAATGATGTCTCTAAATTATGATCTTCCTCTTCTTTCCTGTCCTTTTCTGCCTTCTCTCCAGCGCTGCTGCGGGTCTCTGATCCAGCGCTGACTCCTCTGTCCTTGCTGGCACTTCCTGCCCCACGGTGTCTGCATGCGGGTGCACGCGTCCATAGACTTACCTTGCGTCTCTACTCGTCTCCCGGCCGAAAATCCGAACTGCGCATGCGCCCTCCCCAAGATGCTTTGCGATCGCCCGAGCAGTTTCGGATTTTTGGATGGGAGCGCGTGGCAAAGACAGCGGTAAGTTTAAACCGCTTTTTTTTTTTTTGCATATATCTACTGTTTGCTAGCAGTAGATATATGCAAAAAAACCGGAGGGTTTAGAAACCCTTTAAACTTTCATGCATGAAAAAAAACAAACACTAGCACAACCATCATGCACAAAGCATTCACATCTGTACATGACAATGTAGTACAGGTGAGATTTTCACCCCATTTACGTGCCCTGGCTGACATTCAGTATGAAAGAGTGTGCTATAACACACATAAATAGCACCTTTATATGCGGATTGTAATGTGCATTACTACAAGTGCATAGGTGCGGAGACTACTTTAAACACAAGACGACATTTAGATAATTGAATAGAACCAATTAACATTTAATATACCAAAACATTTAATGCTCCTAGAACCAGTTAAAACATGCTACTGACCCCCAGATGGCCTTTTTACTTTTCACTTTATGATTTCTATAACCTTAAAGTAAACTTGCCCGAAACCTAACTGATTCAAACAAAGCATATAATAACAAAATGAATTAGTGGAGGTTACTTTAAGAGAAAATAGCATGTCAAAACAATCAGTAGACTTAGAGATACAGGCAGCTAAGAGTAAATGCAAATGTAAGGCCAGGTTTATATTAAACAGAATTGTGATAGATTTCCTTTTAGTTTCAACAGCAGAACAAACAGAGAAGACCATTGTAGATGTTCATTTGTAAGGGGAATGAAAATATGTTTGAAAAAGACAATGTGATATGTTGGAGAATAAGTAGCCTGAATTGTAAAGCATGGCTAAAAGACTGCTTCCACTTAAACCACATTTCTCATTTTGGGAGGATGTGTGGACATGCTCAATACTCAACCAGGTAGTCCCAAAGATGAGATCTCACGGAACCTTAGCACATGCCTAATTAAATTCTCAATTTGTTATCTATTGGACATTTACAATATGGTACATGACACAACACTTCTATGTCCTATACCCTCTAGTGTATTAGCGCAGCATAACGATAGAGACACTAGTTGGTAGAGGTGTACCAAAATGGAAATTTTAAAACCGAAACAAAACCGAAATAAAAAAAAACGTCAGGCCGAAACCGATAACGAAAATTTTTTTTTTATAAAACTTTTTATATTTATTTATTAATTCATTTATTAAATATTTTTTACTTTACTTTTAGGGGCTTCGGGGGAAATATTAGAGGTCTAAAACAGACCCCTGATATTTCCCTTTTAAATTAGAAAAATAGATTGAGAACACAGAGTCCTCAATCTCTTTTTCTGTGTCCCCTGTTATCAATGAACAGGACCTCTTCATTGATAACATGAGAACATGGTTTGTTTACTATAAATACAATTATGAATGAATGGGGGTGATGTAGATCACTCCCATTCATTCATAATTGAGGGTATAGTTAACATACCATATCCTCAATTATGTGCACACACTCAGCGATCTCAGATCGCTGAGTGTGTGTACCTTGCTTTTCTCTCTGACACAGCCACCTGTGACAGCGCTGTCTCCGCCCCCACACCGCTCTGCCGGACTGTGATAGGCGGCTGAGCGATGTGGGAGGATAGACGCCGGCCGCTCACAGCGCACTCGTCTTGCAGCGCTCGGCCGGCTGTCACTTTCTTTTCTCCCCGCTGGAACACAGAGCAGCGCCCAGCGGGGAGGAAAGAAACCAGGGATGCGCCGATGTATCGGCCGCAACATGGCTCTTTCGGCATTATGCCAAAAGTGCCATATGTTTCGGCTTCCGATATATCGGTGCATCCCTACTGGTTGGCTCTGCACCTTAAGTGATGTTCCAAAACGTCAATCTATAGTGCATAGAACGAAACTACACCTACCTTCTAGTGCTTCTTCATAGAGAGCATGGACACCTTCTGGAACAATAACTGCTAAAGCTGTTCCACAGAGCAGACCTGCGCCGAGAACTGTCACCAACTTTAAACGTTCCTGTAGAAATGGGAACATGGACAGGATGGAGTTTAAAATAAAATAAGACTATGCAGTAAACATATGATAAAAATAAACATCATCACAAAGAATGCACAGACATCTGTAATTTCTAATTATTCATCTCCATTATGTACACCTTAAAAAAAAAAAAAAAAAAAAA